ACCCAGTGCCCGCGGTCATACCAGTTGACTCGGAGCCCACTGCCTTGCCAGATGACGCGGTGCCCGCGGTCGAGCCAAATGACCTGATGCCTGGTGACCCGATGCCCGCTGTCCAGCCAGACGATTCAATGTCTGCCCCGGTGCCCGCGGTCATGCCAGTTGACTCGGAGCCCACTGCCTTGCCAGATGACGCGGTGCCCGCTGTCGAGCCAAATGACCTGATGCCTGGTGACCCGATGCCCGCTGTCCAGCCAGACCATCCAATGTCTGACCCAGTGCCTGCGGTCATACCAGTTGACTCGGAGCCCACTGTCGTGCCTGGTGTCTCGGTGCCCGCCGCTCCGCCTGGGGGCCCGAGACCTGTTGCTCCGCTTGGGGGTCCAGCGCCCGCCGCTCCGCCTGGGGGCCCGAGACCTGTCGCTCCGCCTGAGGGCCCGAGACCTGTCGCTCCGCCTGGGGGTCCGGCACCTGCCACTCCGCTTGAGGGCCCGAGACCTGTCGCTCCTCCTGGGGGTCCGGCACCCGCCGCTCCGCCTGAGGGCCCGAGACCTGTCGCTCCTCCTGGGGGTCCGGCGCCCGCCGCTCCGCCTGAGGGCCCGAGACCTGTCGCTCCTCCTGGGGGTCCGGCGCCCGCCGCTCCGCCTGAGGGCCTGAGACCTATCGCTCCTCCTGGGGGTCCGGCGCCCGCCGCTCCGCCTGAGGGCCCGAGACCTGTCGCTCCGCCTGAGGGCCCGAGACCTGTCGCTCCTCCTGGGGGTCCGGCGCCCGCCGCTCCGCCTGAGGGCCCGAGACCTATCGCTCCTCCTGGGGGTCCGGCGCCCGCCCGCTCCGCCTGAGGGCCCGAGACCTGTCGCTCCGCCTGGGGGTCCGGCGCCCGCCCGCTCCGCCCTGAGGGCCCGAGACCTGTCGCTCCACCTGGGGGTCCGGCGCCCGCCGCTCCGCCTGAGGGCCCGAGACCTGTCGCTCCGCCTGGGGGTCCGGCGCCCGCCGCTCCGCCTGGGGGCACGATGCCTGTCGCCCCGCCTGGGGGTCCGGCGCCCGCCGCTCCGCCTGGGGGCACGATGCCTGTCGCCCCGCCTGGGGGCACGATGCCTGTCGCCCCGCCTGGGGGCCCGGTTGCTCCGCCTGAGGGCCCGAGACCTGTCGCTCCGCCTGGGGGTCCGGCGCCCGCCGCTCCGCCTGGGGGTCCGGCGCCCGCCGCCCCGCCTGGGGGCCCGGCGCCCGTCGCCCCGCCCGGGGGCCCGGCGCCCGTCGCCCCGCCCGGGGGCCCGGCGCCCGTCGCCCCGCCCGGGGGCCCGGCGCCCGTCGCCCCGCCCGGGGGCCCGGCGCCCCGCCGCCCCGCCCGGGGGCCCGCCGCTCCGCCCGGGGGCCCGGCGCCTGCTGCTCCGCCTGGTGGCCCGCTGCCTGCTGCTTCGCCTGGTAATCCGATGTGCCTCTGCCCGGAGTCCTGCCCGATGTGCCTCTGCCCGGAATCCTGCCCGATGTGCCTCTGCCCGGAATCCTGCCCGATGTGCCTCTGCCCGGAATCCTGCCCGATGTGCCTCTGCCCGGAATCCTGCCCGATGTGCCTCTGCCCGTGTGCCTCTGCCCGGAGTCTTGCCCGATGTGCCTCTGCCCGGAGTCCTGCCCGATGTGCCTCTGCCCGGTGTGCCTCTGCCCGGTGTGCCTCTGCTCGATGTGCCGCTGCCCGGAGTCCAGCCCGGTGTGCCGCTGCCCGGAGTCCTGCCCGGTGTGCCAGTCTTTGATATCCCGCCAGTTGCCAGACCCGGGCGGTGGAACATTTTGCCCAGCTAGGACTGTTTGGAGCGTCCTGAGGCCGCTCCTTGAGGGGGGGGGGTACTGTTAGGAATGGACTGGCCAGCAATGGTGGGACTCACCTGCCTTTTGATCTGCAGTACCAGGGCTGGCCAGCGGGTGCTCCCAGCAATCAGAGACTCAACCTTTCAGCCAGCTAACACCTGGAACTGATGATACTGGTGTATTTAAGGGATGGCCAGACTTGCAGACTCTGCCTTGGTGTTGTGTTTGTCCTGGGCCCTGTATCTGTCCTGCATCCTGTTTCTGTTCCTTTGCTGACTTCTCCTGCTCTGATCCTGGCTTGTGACCCTGACCATCCCTCTGTCTGACCCTCTGTACTACGCTGCTTGCTACCTGTTCTGATCCCTGGCTTGTGACCCGGACCATCCCTCTGCCTGACCCTCTGTACTACGCTGCTTGCTACCTGTTCTGATCCCTGGCTTGTGACCCGGACCATCCCTCTGCCTGACCCTCTGTACTATGCTGCTTGCTACCTGCTGAACCTGGCCTGTGACCCCGACCATTCTCCGCTTGCTCCCCTGTACCTACCTGCCCAATTGATATTGACCCGGCCTGCCTGACGACGCTTGCTTGTATGTACTGTTATCTGTGGGTGGTTGGTTGGGTTTGTTTGCACCGTATTATGTTTTAGTATTGCACTGCGTTTATGTTTGTACTGTTAGTGTTAATAAATTATATTGTTTATAACATATCTGAGGTCTGCGTTTCCCTGCTTCAGTCACACATCTCTGGTCACACCTGGGAGCCCTGACACGTAGTCTGCTTTCACACTGATCCATTGTTTTTTTTCAATTTTGCGTTAAAAGAAGAAAAACTTGTGACCATGTAATCCTTTGGAACTCTACACTGATTTGTTGCAGGTCCTGTGTGTTTTTCTAAGTCCTGCTTGCTGCATTTTTGGTGTGGTAAAAAAAAATGCACCAAAAACACACCTCACTATTGAAATCAATGGAAAACGCAGCAGAAAACACATTAACCTCTTCTCGCCGGCCGCACACAAATGTGAGGCCTCCCGGTGTCTAGGCCTAAACGCCGAGCGGCTGCACATTTGTGTGCAATTAAAAAAAACATATGTGCTGAGAGCGCGCGCTCCCAGCACACATGTCCGGTACTCGCGGAAAGATCCCGATCTCCTCTTTCGATCGGGACCTTTCCTGATCATGTGACTGCCGTGACGGCGAATCACGGCAGTCATGTGACCCTAAACCCCGCCCGCCTCCTGGCTTCTGAAACCCTTAAAGGGCTGGAAGGCGCCGGCGCCAAGGGGTTAAAAAACACATCTGTGTTGTGTTTTTAGTGCTGTTTTTGAGTCACATATCCTTTGAAAATCGTACCGCAAAAACATGGTAAGAACGCAGCAAGAACACGTGTTTTTGCCATGGATCAGTGTGAAAGTAGTCTTAGTGCTCTGGATTGAGGCAAGAACACACTATGGAGGGATATGCTTTGCTCATATTTCATGTCTAAGATTTACAAACACTTTAAAATCAGAAGTCCCCCTCCCTCCTCTGTCATTAATGTAAACTTTTTTTTTTTGGAGTGGGTACCTATTTCTGGCAGGTAGCCACTCCCACTTTTGCTTGAAGAGTTTGGCCCTTCCCTCCCTGCCCACAACCTTCTGGGACTTGTCATACCTCCCAGGAGGCTGCAGGTCTGTTCAGAAAGTGCAGCTCATCTTACTTTTGTGCAGTGGGGAGCCAGCTGTGAAGCAGCAAGAAGTCACTGCCGGCTTCCCAAAGTCAAGATGGGGGTGCCAGGGACCCGAAGACTGGCGAAGAAACCGGCCTGAGAGCTGAACCAACATGGAAGGAGGATTTTGGTCAATGTCACGCCATCACTACATGTCCAAACTTAGTTGTGAGGTCACATATTCCTGGTGAGGGCACAGCTGGTGTCATGGATGGTGGAGGTGCACTGTATATGAAAGAAGATACGGAATATTGATGGAAAAGATTTTTATTTTGAAGGATTATGAATGAGGATTGACTGAACAGATTTTTGTATATTATTTGCAGTATTTTTCACCAGTTCACTGATATCGGGAATATTATTTGAAGTCACATTTTATTGTGGTATGAGAAAAGCGTGACACTGTTATTATGTGATTGTTGTTATGTAGCATGTTCATATGAGTATGTGTAGGTGTGGGCGGACTTTTGTTTTTACCCCATTTTTTTCTATTTTGAGTTGATATTCCAATGTTATTTAAGTGCTCGTGGGTTTATATAAAGCCATTTATAACTCTGCCCCAAAATACATCACCGAAATTGTCTCCAAATATCACCCAAACCGTCCTCTCTGCTTCTCCCATGACCTCCTGCTCTCTAGATCCCTTGTCTCCTCCTCTCCATGCTCGGCTCAGGATTTCTCCAGAGCTTCCCCCATCCTTTGGAACTCTCTACCCCAATTTATCAGACTATCGCCTTCTCTGCTCACTTTTAGGCGATCTCTGAAAACCTCTCTCTTCAGGGAAGCCTATCCTGCCTTCAGCTAATAACGGAATCTTCTACTCTTCCAACCAGTCCATCCCCCACAGTTACTACCTTTTGTACACTAGCCCCTCCCTCTTAGATTGTAAGCTCCAAGGATCAGGGCCCTCGAATCCCTCTTGTATTGAACTGTCTTGTTGCTGTATTGTTTCCTGTTATATTGTAAAGCGCTGAGCGAATTGTTGGCGCTATATAAATCCTGTATAATAATTATATTTATATATTGTTTATGCTGCTTGTTTCTGGCTTTGATTCACCAGGCTATAACATGCTGGGGAAGAGGAACCACAAAGGGTCCTTACCCTCGGTGCACATCAGTGCGGGTGGTGCCGCTGCAGATCCGCACGAAAATCCGTGCAGCCCCACCACCCGCACAGAGGAATGCGGACCTGTGGGCGGATGCTATTAGTTCTAATGGCACGCCGCCTGCACTGGAAAACGCAACCATACTGGGGACCGAGGTTCCCATGCGGGCTGCGTGTCACGGGGCACGGGAGTCCATTCAAATGAACGTCTCTCTCTCGTGCCCGTGCAAGACGCGGCCCGCATGGCCACATAGGTGTGAACCGAGGGTAAGTGTAGCGTTTCTGTAACTATGCCTAGGTCACGTTAGTCGGTTTATACTGTATGTAAATGGTGTTTAGTGTTCCTGAACCGTCTATTACATGTTTCCTATATTTTTAAGATTCCAGAATGGATTATAAGAAGATATCGGATGAGGTCTCCCAGAAGGTTTTATCCTATCATGAGGATAATTCGGGCTGGAAACCGGCCAAATCCACCGTGAGTTCAGATCGTCCTGATGAGTAAAATACGTCTTTTTCCCTAGAAAATAATGTCTAATGTGGATTGTGTGTTCCTTCTAGAAAGATCTCATTGTTTCATGGAAACCATCCAATGAATACTCAGGAAATATGTAAGTAATGACAACCAGAGGTATGGTCAGAGAATATTGAAGTTCGTATTGCTTATATTTTGTCTTCCCTGGCTCCTTCTTTCCCCCTCATCAACATTCAAACAAGATTTCTAAACCAAACCTTTCCGCTTTCTTTGCATATCTCATTTTAGACCATGTGATGATATCACTGGGTTTCTGTGCTTCTTTATGCAATGTAGGCAGATCAAGGCTGGAAGGAGGGGCCAGAAGGCTCCTGTTCATTTATGACCACTTCCAGGCTGCCCTGTACTTTTTATGTACATGATCCAGCATTTCCAGGTATAGGGCGTGCACAAGCCCCCTGCTTGATCTGCGCTGTGATTCGCTACAGCACAAGTTTGACAGTAGTTCCAGTCCAATGATTTATGGCCTGGACCTGCTGATCGGCTGTAGCGAATCATAGCACAGAGCCCCATGCTTACTAATAACACAGGGCTCTGTAGACAGAGTTGTTGTTTTTTTGCCACATCTATTAGTAAAAGCAGCACATATTACACATAGTTAGGCACACAGTTATCCCTTTGATTGCCCCTAGATGTTAACCCCTTTCCAACCAGTGCCATTAGTATAGTGACAGTGTACAGTATTAGCACTGATCACTGTATTAGTATTGCTATTGATGTCAGTCAGTTAGTGTCCCTCACAGCCAGCATCTAGCTGGCGCCAGATTGCCCGCCACACTATCACAGTCCCAATATATAAGTCGCTGATTACCATTACTAGGGCTTTTTTCCAGCAGGAATGTGGAGGAACGCAGTTCTAGCAACTCCAGCACTGAATGTATATAATGGCAAGGGGTGCTATGGCATGCTGGAGAGTTTGTGCTGTGGTATGCTGGAGAGTTTGTTGATGCTGGCTGTTGGGGGATCTATTATTGCTGGAGGGGATCTAATTTTGCATGGGTGTCTATTGTTGCTGGGGGGGTCAATAGTGGCTGTTGGGGGGGTCTACAGTATTGTTGAGGGAGAGGTATATTGATACTGGCAGCTTGGAGATCAGGTTTTGCTTCTGGGAGTCTATTGTTGCTGTGGTGGATCTATTGTTGCTGGGGTGGTATCTTATTGCAGGGGGCCATTTTTGCTGGAGGTGGTTCTATTGTTGCTTGGGTGGAGCCATCTAGTGGCAAAGTGGCTAACTACACCTGCCTACTGACTGCCCAAAGTAGTACCCTCAAGTCATGCTACACCTTTGTGGTTGAAAGAGCTGAAATCGCATGAATATAAAGGACAGACCAGGCAAAGCAAGACTGGGGAGGAAAGAGCTAGAAGATGCTGGATGTTCTTCAGTAGGTAAATAAGGCGGCCTCTGTCTGACTTGCTGCAGCTTCTAATGCACATGGTGAGAAGCTCACAGTGTTCAGAGAAATCAGAGTAAGCCATTTCAGTCCAGGACAAGAGCCTGTACAACTGGGCAAGACTGAAGGGGAGGCCGGAGTGATCCTGGCCTGGCCTGTGATGTGTGTAAGGTAATAACAGTACTAATGCAATTACCGGAGTTAGTCTTGAAATGAATCCCTGTGTGGTGCAAAATCAAAGAAGAGGGAAGTTCCTATAAATTTTTAGAGATTTCCTCTCACTTCCTATTGCTTCTCAAGGACAGAAAGTGAGGAGGATTCTTCCCAAGGATCACTTATTCCAAACTACGGACAACTGTTTCAGGCTTGTTGGCCATCATCAGTGTATGGAAACCATGGCTTGTATGGTGTATGGCCCTGGTGCCCAACCTGCGGCCCTGCAGCCCTTTGGCAATTTTTTTGTGCAGCCTACAGTGCCCCTGCTGATACAAATCAGTTTTTTTTCCCCGATTGTCCTGCTATAGTTGTGAATCTACCATCTCATATGTCTCCTGAAGCATGTTCCCAATCTCCAACAGCTCCTGTAGCATGTTCACAGTCTCTGACAGTCTCATACAGCATGTCTGCAGTCTCAGACCATCTCCTGTATCATGTCCACAGTCTCTGACCATCTCTTGTATCATGTCCGCAGTCTTTGACCATCTCTTGTATCATGTCTGCAGTCTCTGACCATCTCATGTATCATGTCCGCAGTCTTTGACCATCTCTTGTATCATATCTGCAGTCTTTGACCATCTCTTGTATCATATCTGCAGTCTTTGACCATCTCTTGTATCATGTCTGCAGTCTCTGACCATCTCTTGTATCATGTCCGCAGTCTCTGACCATCTCTTGTATCATGTCCGCAGTCTCTGACCATCTCTTGTATCATGTCCGCAGTCTTTGACCATCTCTTGTATCATATCTGCAGTCTCTGACCATCTCTTGTAGTATATCTGCATTCTCTGACCGTCTCTGTTTCATGTCCGCATTCTCTGACCATCTCCTGTTTCATGTCCGCAGTCTCTGACCATCTCTTGTATCATGTCTGCAGTCTCTGACCATCTCTTGTATCATGTCTGCAGTCTCTGACCATCTCTTGTATCATGTCTGCAGTCTCTGACCATCTCTAGTAGTGTGTCTGCAGTCTCTAACAATCTTCTGTTTAATGTCTGCAGTCTCTAACCATCTCTTGTATCATGTCCATAGTCTTTGACTGTCTCTTGTATCATGTCTTCAGTCTCTGACCGTCACTTGTATCATATCCATAGTCTTTGACCATCTCTTTTGGCATGTCTTCATCTCTTATGATCTTCTTTTGTATCATGTCTGCAGTCTCTGACCATCTCTTGTATCACGTCCATAGTCTCTGACCATCTCTTGTATCATGTCCGTAGTCTCTGCCCATCTCTTGTATCATGTCCGCAGTCTCTGAGCATCTCTTATACCATGTCAGCTGTCTCTGACCATCTCTTGTGTCATGCCTGCAGTCTCTGACCATCTCTTGTATCATGTCTGCAGTGTCTGACATCTCCTATACCATTCCCACAGTCTCTGACCATTTCTTGTATCACGTCCATTGTCTTTGGCCATATCACATGGTGTGTTTGCTTTCTCTGACACTGAATATTCACTGAATTTTATGTGCAGCCCCTTGGTGATGTTGAAGGCTGCACTTGAGGGCCCCCATATCAAGACTTTTGACAAGTACTGGTGTAGGACTTGGGAACCAACAAGAAAATATAACCCAGAAGGTTGTGGTGAGGAGGAACTAAAGGAACCAAGATATTCTCCACTGATCCAGTAGAACCTTAGGACGGAAAGGTATTCATATATCAGTGATGTACTATATGGGCACCGGCTTCTTTTTCTTTTTTTACGGGTATAGTGTGAAGTCAATGTAACAAATAAGATGTTGAGTATTGGACACATATCCATTCTGATTCATACATGTCTTTGTCTCCCGAAATTCCAGATACCGCGGAGAAGGGATAATTGAAGAGGTGCCAGAGAAAGTCATTGCATTTATGTATATTGATGAGCACAGGAACAAGTGGGACAAATCCTTGAAATATTATTCCATCCTAGAGCACATTGACCAGGTCCATCACCTTCTATTTTACATGTCCTAAGTTTCACTACGGGGGTTTGGTTAAAAAAAAAAAAAAAGAGGGCAAATTCTTGAAACTTCAATCATTAATTAAAGTAATAAAAATGTTCTAAGTCAATGAATGCCACAAATGTGTATCAAATAAAATGAAAGTATTCGTATGTAGTAAGGATTATATTCCAAAGCCACGTAAACACGATGAGAAAATTGGACGAATTGGATCAGCCATTTTGTTTTTGTACGCTAGTCTCATTATCAAAAATGAAGAGGTTACTAAAGTTCCAAAAATTCTCGTATGACAGAATACAACTTGTAATGTATTCTTTTGTTTCTGAGCATGCGCAGTCTTGGTCACTCGATTTTTCTTTGGACGAATACTGTACTGATTAAAAGAAAATCGTTCATTCTGTTATCATATGAGAAAAAAATTGTGCTTGTCCCTTCAGATAATTTTGCAAGAACTGCCGTGATCGGCTCTCGAAAACTGTGTACTAATGATCAGATTATTGGATGATCGCCCCAAAAGCGGTATTTTTCTTTTGATTTTCTCATCGTGTGTACTAGGCATTAATCATAGGCACCTCATATCCCTCTCCTATGGGATTCCACCTAGCTGTTTGTTTTTTTGGCCAAGAGTAGTGATGCTACTTTCTCTTTCTTCTATGTCCCTATCTACGCCTGATCTATGCCTGATCCAGTGATGTCAGCCAGTGATAAGAAAAGGGGAGCAGAATAGGCTGTCCTAGGGGTAGCTCACATTGGCAACAGGGGCAGTAAAAACAAGAGGTTGATAGGTGTTTTAATCTCTCCTTTACCGCCCACTTCCAAATGTACATGGCGGATGGAAGGGTTCAGATTTCCACATCCGTGATGTTTCGCGGTTCTGCAATTTTAACTTGAAATCTTATGAAGTCATACTAATATAGGACTGGTGATGTTGAGGATCTGGACGGTGTAGAAAAGGGGATATATGGGGACATTGTTCTGTTTCAAATGTTGTTTTATGCGTTGACATACCTCCTTAGACTGTCTGAACAGTATGGTCACCCACTGACTTGGCATTATCCACAGGCAGCTTAACTCTTCAAAGTGTATAGTCAATAGAGAGCTCCTGCTGGAACCAGGCCTCTGTAGCCACTAGGGTGCCAGAATGGATATTGAGGATTGGGAACATTCCTGACACTGAGGCAGCTCTTCAGAGAGTTGGAAGCAAAGCTCTAGTGCAGAAAGACATAGAAAGAAGGTGCCTCTAAGTGTAGTATTGGCAGTTTTATTAACATACAAAGGGGGGTCAAAGGTCGGATGAAGGAGCCCTTTGCTCATGCTTCGAAACGCGTTACCACCCCTATCTTACGTCACTTCTGGCGCATGTGTTCCATGACTCCTCTCGAGGTTCCACAGCCATCCCTACATTCCACAGGTTATGCTGCCGCTGGACAGCCCCTATCCCACATCATCAGGAACATCAGTCGATTTTTACTATGATGAGCCCGTCATGTTTTGCCTTCCTGTAAGTGTAATTTTATCTTTGTATGTTAATAAAACTGCCAATACTACACTTAGAGGCGCCTTCTTTCCACGTCTTTCAGCTTAACTGTTCGACAAGATGCAGAAGTTGAATCCAATGCAATTTTAAATCAGCTAATTGCAGTACAGAGGATGATTTTCCAGTCTTTTAAAGTGTAAAGAGACAATGATTTTCCTGACCTCAGTTTCTGCGAAAAACTACCACTGACTCAGGCAACATAGAAGTAATGGGGGCGGGTATAACTAGGACAGAGCAAACCAAAATAGCATAGTAAACAAGTTATAGTCGTTCAAAACAGCCACTAGATGCCAGCATACTACTACAATATGAACCTCATGCAATTCAACACCACACATAAACAATACAGGAAAGTGGGGCAGGACAGATATACAGGGCAACCTATTGGGAGTCTGTAATCAGAAAGGTTATGAGCCCCTGGTGGGCATTTTGGCAAATCAGCATCTGGCGATCTGTGTGAACGCTTGCTTTTTCTCTTGATGTACGACAAATAATTTGATATGGGAAGTTTCGTCTTTAGACATTCCATAACATATGCATTCAGTCTCCTCTACTGTAGTGGTACCCACTAAACCAGCCTTTCTCAACCAGGGTACCGTCCGGGCTCATCAGAGGTACCCTCAAACTACGGCCCTCCTGACAATGGCGTAACACATATATGTGACATCACAGAAGTGGTCTTTCTTTTGTTGCGCCACATATATGCAACATGTGTTTGATTTTTTTTTTTATCGTATATTTGATTGCAGAAAATAGAAAATTATTATTATTATTATACAGGATTTATATAGCGCCAACAGTTTGCTCAGCACTTTACAATATAACGGGAGACAATACAGCAACAATACAGTTCAATACAAGAGGGTTAGGAGGGTCCCTGCTCCTTGGAGCTTACAATCTAAGAGGGAGGGGCTAGTGGTACAAAAGGTAATAACTGTGGGGGATGGACAGGTAGGAGGAATAAAAGATTCTGTTATTAGCTGAGGGCAGGATAGGCTTTCCTGAAGAGAGAGGTTTTCAGAGATCGCCTAAAAGTGAGCAGAGTAGGCTATAGTCTGATAGATTGGAGTAGAGAATTCCAGGGGATGGGGGAAGCTCTGGAGAAGTCCTGGAGATGAGCATGGGAGGAGGAGACAAGGAAGCTAGAGAGTAGGAGGTCGTACGAGGAGCAGAGAGTACGGTTTGGGTGATATTTGGAGACAAGATTGGTGATGTAATTTAGGGCAGTTATAAATGGCTTTATATGTTTTTGTTAATGTTTTGAATTTTATCTGTTGGGCAATGGGAAGCCAGTGGAGGGATTGGCAGAGAAGGATGGAGGACACTGAATGGAAGCCAGTGGAGGGATTGGCAGAGAGGGGTGGAGGACACTGAGTGGAGGCCAGTGGAGGGATTGGCAGAGAGGGGTGGAGGACACTGAGTGGAGGCCAGTGGAGGGATTGGCAGAGAGGGTGTGGAGGACACTGAATGGGAAGCCAGTGGAGGGATTGGCAGAGAGGGATGGAGGACACTGAGTGGAGACCATTTGAGGGACTGGCAGAGAGGGGTGGAGGACACTGAATGGGAAGCCAGTGGAGGGATTGGCAGAGAGGGGTGGAGGACACTGAGTGGAGGCCAGTGGAGGGATTGGCAGAGAGGGGTGGAGGACAATGAGTGGAGACCAGTGGAGGGATGGCAGAGAGGGGTGGAGGACAATGAGTGGAGACCAGTGGAGGGATTGGCAGAGAGGGATGGAGGACACTGAGTGGAGGCCAGTGGAGGGATTGGCAGAGAGGGGGTGGCAGATACAGAATGGTTAGTAAGGTGGATGAGTCTGGCAGCAGCATTCATGATAGACTGAAGAGGGGATAGCCTGCGATGAGGTCGGCCAATGTGGAGGGAGTTACAGTAGTCAAGGCGAGAAAATATTGGGGTTTTTTTTTCGTTTTTCTTTTTCTATAATAAAAATTAAAAACCCAATGATGATCAAATACCACTAAAAGAAAGTTCTATTTGTGTGAAAAAAAATTATTTACATGCCGTTTTGGGTGCAGTGTTGCATGACTTCGCAACTAACAGATACAGTAGCGCAGTGCCGAATAGCAAAAAAAATGCCCTAGTCATGAAGGTGGTGAAATCTAAATCTTCCAGAGCTCAAGTGGATATCTACCACCCAGAGGTTATCTGTAAACCTGGGCTCCGTCCATAGTGTAGTTTGATCCTCGCTGTGAAATTGTGTTTTACTGTATTCATGTGCTAATAAAGTTGTTTTTCTTTTTTGTTTTGTTTTTTTTAGGACACTGTGATCTGTCAGACCATCACACACAGTTATGGGATGGGGCTTATTTCAGCCAGAGAGTTTGTGGATCTAGTTCACATTAGGAGGTATGACGGAGGAGTCGTCACTACTAACTGTGAGTGCGTTTATGTTCTGTATACATTTTTTTCTTCTTGTGCTTGTGGACGTAGCCTGCATTCACACTTAGCATTTTGGAAATGCTCGTTTTTACAGTACTTAAAAAAAAAAAAAACAGGTGTTGCACTTGCCTTACCATTATGGTTGAACTGGATGGACTTTTGTCTTTTTTTCAGCCAGACTAACTATGTAATTCATTGATAATGGCAAGCGCAACAAAAAGCATGTGCATTATTCACACGAAATCAAACCTGGCAAAACTGGAAAAAAAACGCACACAGCTTGGCACTCATAAAGGTGCATGAGCTATTTTTTTGGTGCATGTAGGAATGAATGGGCTGCCATATGCATGTGCTGCAAAAATTTACAAAATGCTAAGTGTGAATGCAGGCTGAATGATGGATCCACCCTTTTGTCCCGCCAATTGTACCTCCTATTGTAGTCTCTGTAAACGAGTCTGAGGTTCCCATTGGATGGTTGCAGCAGGTGGGCGGAGCTGGGAATTCAGTAGAGATTTCATTTCATTGCTGGGGTTCTTCTTATCTATTGGATGGCTGACAGTATTTACCCAAAGCTGGACTATCTGTTCCCGTGGAGAGATCCTATACTATATATTATTCTTATATCATTTCTGATATACACATCCTAGAATTCCTCTTGGGAGGATTTATGCAAATATCTAAATGCCCGGGGGGGGGGGGGTGGATGTCAGTCTGGAGGAGCCGGAGTTCCTAGGTAGGTAGGTGTGATGCTGAGCCTCCATGATTAAGGACCTGAAATCCTATGAATGAAAGGGGCAGGCCAGAAACACAGGCTGGGGAGGAAAGCCTAGATGATGCTGGATGTCCTCCAGCCAGGAGATGGGGTGGCCTCTATCTGTCTTGCTGCAGCTTCTAATGCACAGTGTGTGAAGCTCACAGTGTGCAGTGAAATCAGAGTAAACAATTTCATCATTGTGCTGGACTGGCTAACTGACAACAGTGGACCAAGTCAGAGCAGTGTGTGTTGTCATAGCTGCTTGTAGTCCTAAACAAAGGTGTATGTCATAGGGTGACAACATAGGAACACTCATGGGAGAGAGTTGTCACCCAGATTTTATTGATCAGGTTTAGCCTTTCCTTAATTTCAAATATTTGAAAATGGGGTTTTTTTACATCTATTTTCTGTTGATCAGGAAAAGAAAACAAAAGAAAATCAACAAATCCATTTTCTTTTAATACTCATTTCAAATTAAAGGGATGAATTCTCTGTGTTATAAAACTGCCCCACTCTATGAGTTGTCACTGCCCTCTAGTGGCCAAAATGTAGCAGTGCAGTTTGAGAGTAAAAATGTAAAAAAAAACTTTTTTTAATTATTATTATTATTATACAGGATTTATATAGCGCCAACAGTTTGCTCAGCGCTTTACAATATAATGGGAGACAATACAGCAACAGTACAGCTCAATACAAGAGGGTTAGGATTATTATTATTATTATACAGGGTTTATATAGCGCCAACAGTTTGCTCAGCGCTGTACAATATGAAATAAACCCTTATTTGTATTCCATTCAGGTATAAGTATTGATTATGAAAAATGCCCAGTGGATTCATCAAACATTAGAGGCTTCAATTACCCGACTGGATATATATGTTCACCGCTGCCTGAGTAAGTACCCCAGAACAATGTAGGTCTTGTTTGAAAATGGGTCTGTGTAGGAGATGTAATGTTAAATAACATTTCATTTGTTAAAGCATTGTGTATCATATTCAGTTGTCTTTTTCAAATTTTTTAAAATAAATGCTTGTTTTCACCTTTTTTTCATCTTTTTTTGCATCTCACTTCTGCAGCACTCTTGCAGCCTCTTTGCAGCCACTTCCTGTCTACATGCACGCCAGTGATGGCTGCATTTCTCAAGGCACATTTCCTAATGGTGACAACAGTGGACCGTGCCTGTGTAATGTGCAGTACAATGGCCACTTGTAGTCTCCTTCGGATAGTTAGGGGACAATGCAAGAGTACAGCTGAGAGACAGGAACAGAGTGTTGTCACCCTATAAGAAGAAGTGCCTGAACAAGGACCATCAGGGCAGGATCACTAGGGATTTTAAAGCTAAAGTTTCATCTGTTTATACTGTATTTTGCTCTCCCCTGGTTCCTTTTCACTTTATCAACATTTATTTATTTATTTTAGGTACTTATATAGCGCCATCAGTTTACGCAGCACTTTACATATATATTGTACATTCACATCAGTCCCTAACCCTCAAGGGGCGTACAATCTAAGGTTCCTAACTAACATTCATACATACACATACTAGGGCCAGTTTAGACAGGAGCCAATTAACCTACCAGCATGTCTTTGGAGGGTGGGGAGGAAACCAGAGTACCTGGAGGAAACCCACACAGGCACAGGGAGAGAGAACATGCAAACTCCAGGCAGGTGGTGCCGTGGTTGGGATTCAAACCAACGACCCTAATACCGCCAGGCGGAAATGCCAACCATTTAGCCACTGTGCTCTCATATTGGTGTGCCATGTATTTAAATGAGTACACTGTTCCAAATGCTGGGGGACTACACTAGAGATACCCCAGAGAGTGATTTTCTCATTCACTATCACCATACCCAAATGCCAACAGTTCATTCTGATGAAATGCTTCAATATTTCTTGCTCGTTCTCCTGCATCCCACACATTCCTATTGGCCCAATGATTATGATGGCTGATTATCTGAAGTCATTGGAAGAACACATCAGTCCAGCAACTAACACTTCTAGAAAGAGAGGGCAGCAGATGCAGCCTTCAAAGTCTCATAGTCTTCACATCTCACTGCTGGGTTCCGTTATCGATTACTAAGCTATATCTCTGATAGGTAGTCACATAGTCATTAAAATTGGGAATACCAAGCACCTAGAGACATCTGTCACATGAAAAACGACCATACACTGTGTTCCCAAGCCTTGTCTGAATAGGAATTACCATGACCCAATTGGGTCAAGTACTCAACTCGGTTACTTCTGTTTTGTAAAATTCTTTTTATTAAGAATCTTAATATGCATTCAAAAAGTAAGAACAACATTAAAGTGCAAGTCAGGGCTAAACCTAATCCTAAACCTGCCCCCCCCCCCCCCCCCCATTCTAAGTCCTATACTATTTACCCAGTAAAGAAAAAGATGTCTATACTTACTCATTTTGAGGGCGCTATGGTCTCTCATATGGTCCGGTCATTTGATCGTCTCCCAGCGTCGGCTTCAGAGGAGAGGAGAGAGCAGCAGCAACAGTTCCAATACCTTGGTGGTGACGTCCCCCATAGACATACTATGGGGCATCTGTTGTCCAGTGTCCCTCCTCTCCCCTAAAGCCAGCTCTCAAGCCAGTCACATGACTGGACAAGAGCATCCTCAGAAGAGGTCGGAGATCCAGGAGGTGTGAGTGTCCAGGGTGGCAAAAACTAAAACTGAGGTCCAGGGGCAGACTGACCATTTGGAAACTCAGGCACTGCCCGAGGGCCCCGGGGTCAGTAGGGGGCCCCATGAGATGCCCCTGGTACTTTTTTCATAGGCTTTTTTGAGTTTGGGCAAGGATACAGGGGCCCCATGATCCCCTATTGCCCAGGGGCCCCATGAGTTGTGAGTCTGCCCCTGCTGAGGTCAGGATCCAGGTATCCATTGTAAGCATAATACACAGTGCCTAATATGGACAAGAATACCAGCATATGTAGTCAGAGATAGTGCATGTAGAATTTATGCAACCAACCAACTTTCCAAATATGGAAGACACGCTTCTATTGGAATAAGTGGCTTTGTAGAAGGGCAGAGTTGCATTTACCTGAGCCTTTCAAGTGTGGAGGGTAAAAAAAAAAATATATTTTTTTTTAAATGTATTCTTAAGATTTTTTTTTAACATATAAAAAAAAGTCATTTTAACATATTTTTGTAAATGCCTTCCAAAAATGTATGTATTTTTAAAAAGACATACAGTATATCTGAAATGTATTCTTAAAAATATTTTTCATATATTTTGTAATAAAAACGCATTTCAACATACATGTATGTATGTGTATATATAATATATTTATTGAAATAAATTTTGAAATATATTGAATATGGCCAAAATTGTAGTATTTCAAATATATGGCAATATATATGGGGAAAAATATTTTTTACATATATTTCAAATATATTTTTCTCCCATATGGCTTTGAGAGCAGCACCAGCAAAGAGAGGACTGATCCTTAATAATGTTAGCAAGTTTGGCTAAGTTTATAGTGGATCAGTTGGCATCTAGCTGAAACCATCCTCGTGAAAGGGACCTCCCACAGTTTATCCCAATCTTTATTATCTAAATCCGGAACGTTTACCACCCAAGATCTTTGACAGACCTGCAGCAACCTGCTTGTTTTTGGGAACAATTGCTTATAAATAGTAGATAAAAGCTTAGTAAGATCATCATCTCTCAACATTGATTCAATTCTAGTAGGCGAAGGGACAAATGGCCAACCCCAAATTGTGCATGAAAGGCATGCCAAAATTGTAGATGTCTAAAAAGATGAGTGTTAGGTAGCTGGTACAAATATTTCAGCTCACCAAAGGTCATCAGAACTCCACTTCTTACTACATCTTGTATATTTTTAATTCCAAATCTAGTTACAAAACTGGGTCTGTGTAATGTTAAAAATTAGGTAAACAGGAGTTTCTCCACAACTGAGTATTTCATAGACCCACCAGACTCCAACCCATGGAGAATCATACTCTAATAACAGATTTCATAGAGTAGGTTTGCATACGTGGAGATTTCAAACCCCTATAGACCAAATGAGTCAGACTACCTCTGTGACCAATCCCCAGTGGCCGGGGCGAAACTCGTCAGGGCGTGGCCAGAACGGCTGCTGAGGCCATTCCTCAACATTGGACTCCTGGGGTTGGTTCAGCAGCGTTCATCCCTTCATTTGTATTGGCTGAAACTGTAATCACTCGGACTCATGCTCCCCCCTTCTCACTTGCCAGTGGGATGATCCTTTTCCTTCCATCCATAGCGTGGAGCAGCGCCATAAGGTATACTTTTCATTATCGAAATGGAGAGGTTACTATCTATGAGCGAACACTTCTCCAGCTAAAAAATATATTTCTAAAAGTTGGGCACAGCCAGTCCTTCCTCCAAAGCTGCTGCAAAACAGCTTATCTGATCCTTGGTGTACCTTTGTGCCAGAGTAAGTCAGACAAAAGCCTGACTTGTTTGCTTAAAAGTAGCCTTCACCCACCTTGCTAAAATGTATACTTCAACCTCCCCATTGTGCTTTCAAGGCTACAACTTTCTAGGGACAATGTATCATGTTTGGTGGGAATGCCCCCAGATCCGGGGCTTTTGGAATGGTATATCTGTCTTACTGCGCAGGGTCACCGAGGTGCCTATTCCACAAATTGCTCTTCTTAATGAGCTCATCAACAAGATCTCTAAGAGCTCCCAACGTTTGATATTTGTTCTCATTGAGTGCCAACATTACCATAGCCAAAGCATGGAAGCAACTCTTGGTGTCCCTTGTGCAGGCAAGGGGGAAGATTTCATGGGTCATGGTCCATGACAAAATTGTATTTTTAATGATAAAGTTAAACAATTTGAGAAGATGTGAACCATGGGTCCAATACATGAAGGTACCGATTGTTTCCTAACCGACAGCTCTACACCATAGGGGCGGATGTCTCAACCTGACTTCTCTTCATCTACTCTTCTTTCTCTCTTTACTCTTCTTTCTTTCTCATCTTTTGAAGTCTGCTCTCTTAGGAATGTCTTCTTCTTTTTGAATGTCATTCAGTATAACAGTAATTACTGCCTCTATTCATGTCCAATGGATTTGAGTTGAGTTTCCAAGAGCAGTTATTATCTGTGCAGCTAACCCTGGATACATTGCAAGACCTGGATGCAAGACTTGTAGTATTTTGGACTACAGTATGTTGGATGTAAATAGTAAAGGCTTATGCGCTGCTATGTTCCAATAATAATAATAATAATAATATCAGGGAAGATTGCTTCTCTTGGTTTGGTAGGGCTGCAATTATTAAAATGAATATACTTAGTTCCGCGTCTCCTCTATCTCTTCCAAACTTTGCCAATTCTACTTCCAATGACATTCTTTGCTTCTTGTAAGAAACTATGTTTCATTCTTCTTTTTATGGCATCACAAGCGTCCGCGGGTCTCGTTCTCTCAGCTAACTCGTTTCTCACTCCCGTAATCAGCTAACTCGTCCCAAACTCAGCGGGGGCATTGGGCTCCCTGACCTACACCGCTATTACTGGGCGTGTCATCTTACCCGCATAGTCGACTGGCACATTCATTCTGCTTCCAAAGACTGGGTCCTTTTGGAGAAGGCTTTTTCGCCCACTCCCCTACCATCGATCCCTTGGCTATTGCCGAAAACACACACCTCAGGTTCTCCTCTCCCATCCTTTGATAGGTCCCACGTTAGAAGTTTTCCGCAAGGCTTGTAAAACGTCGTCCGTTTCAGACTCTCCTAGTCCCTTGACGTCGCTCCGCCTGAATCCAGATTTTCCCCCCCCCCAGGGTTGCACAAGGATTTTTTATCAAATTACTGGCCACACGATCAGATTCTAGTAAAACATTTTCTTCACTCCGGCAAGGTGAAAACATTACAGGAGCTGAAGGTTAGCTTGAATATCCGCGAATTCCCTCTCTGGGCCTTTCTTCAGATTAGACATTTCCTGCTTTTCCATAAATCCCGCCATAATTGGACTCTCCCTGTTACTCCATTTGAATCCTTATGCTCTAAATCCGAACCACGGACGCATTTGATCTCTGAGATTTATCCTCTCCTAGGGGACAGCAGGACTTGCACTTCTTTCCCCTCTTGCCGTGCGTGGAACAGAGACCTAAAGACGGATTTATCGGAGTCGGATTGGGACCGCATTTTTATTGTATGTACTCCCACTCCTGCTCGAGTAATGTCTCGACGCAGGAAAATGGCTACAAATTAGCCACTAGATGGTATCGTACTCCCTCCAGACTTCATCTGTTTAACTGTTCTGTCCCTGACGTGTGCTGGAGATGTGGGACAACCTGATGGATCTTTCTTGCATATTTGGTGGTCCTGTCCACTTATTCAACCATTCTGGCTGGAGGTCCACCGGTTGGTGACTTCAGTGACCACTTTGCCCATAGTTTTCTCTGCTGCTCAGCTATTGCTTCATCATACCCCCATTCCTAGGAGTCAATATTTCAAGTCCCTAGCGATGCATATGATCAACGCAGCCAGACTCTGTCTTCCTGTGCTGTGGGGCTCCACTCACCCCCCAACTACACGCGATTGGCTCAATCGAATAAGCAAAGTGGCGGAAATGGAGGAACTGATTGCGACTGCACTTGACATGCTAACTAAATACTCACATGTTTGGGCTGCTGGACCCCACTTTGTAACTACCCCCTGAATTCGGATCTCTCATGGGTCGGGATACCTGATTGAGCTCAGCCCTACCTCTGGTTATGCCCTTGGTTCTTTCCTGATCTGCGTGGTTATGACCTCCTTTCCGATAATTTATATTTGCCTGCTTAGCTTTGGTGTGTGTTTAAATTCTTGACACTCTCATTTCTGATCTCCATTAACACTGTTGACACAAACTTCGCAGCCTGGACCTTTCGCTTCCCTTGCTTCCCCCCCCCCCCCCCCACCCCCCCACCCCTTTTTTTTTTTTTTTTTTTTTTTTTTCCCTTCTTTCTCTTCTCTCTATCTACTATGACTCCCCTTCTTTTTTCCTTTTCTTATCCTTTTCTTTCTTTCTATTCCCCTTTTTTTTTTCTTTCTCGACAACCTCTTAGTCTTCGATCAGGCTTAGTCTTCATTTTATCCAGGATTACTTGGTATATGGTTAGCTTATCTCTTCTAGGATAGTCAATGGTACTCATGACATCTTCTCTTATACTGCGATGCTCATTTGGCCTCATGATAGCGTACTGCTTTTGGTTTAGGCTCTGAAGGTTCATTTTCTCCATGCATAGGCAGTACGCCGATATTCACTTGGTGGAAGTAAGCTGTTATTACCTTCTCTATTGTACATTTTTGAACCTTGAGTACTACAGGCCTATCTCTGCCGTAATTTGCCATGCTTATGTTATCCACAGTGTCGCACTCTACCATGTTGTTTCTTCCTGTATTTTGGTTTTAAGCTGTAACTATGACCTGATTGATGCTGTATGTGCATTTCTTTATATTTTCCTGTAACATGTTGTCACTTGTAAATAAACTTTTATGGAATAAAAAAAATAATATCAGGGAAGAAAATTACTGCAATCACTGCTCTGGTGTAGTCACACTCAAAATTAGATAAATGAAAAAAATGTGGTGCATCTAGGTTTTGTGCTGCCCTAGGCAACACAAAAATCGTTTCGAACCCATAGATACGACAAACACCCCCCCCTCCCATGGAGAGAGCCTGACATTGACCAAAGACACCCTTGCCCCCACCAGGGAGAACCTCCACTCTACTTCCCCCCCCGGGAGATAGAAAGAAAGATGCCCATCTTCACAGCTCTGGACATCCCCGGGGACCGAGAGTCAAGCTCTGCATACACCATCAAGCATCCCGCAGTCTCTCTCAGATCCCACCTGCTTCCCATGGTGTGTGTGTGTCCCTTCTTCCGTCCCTTCTTCCATCCCTTCTTCTGGGGCAAGGTGCTGCCCTCCTGGAAAATGCCACCCTAGGCAAGTGCCTTGTTTGTCTTGTGGTAAATACGCCCCTGGCGCTACCTCCTCATAAATAAAACCATTAAGCTTTGAAAACATAAAGTGACAGTCCAAAAAATGAATGTATAACAAAAAGAATATGATAATAAACGTCCAATCCAGTATATGTTGTGTTATCATCCAGCAATATTCAACATCGTGCTTGAACTGTGGCCCCACTCCCTGTTCACCTTGACCACTGACCTGTAAATTATAATAGGCCAAACACGCTTTATAAGGAATATGTGTCTGCAAGTTTCTGATGATCCGTGACGATGTTGGATGTACCCTTGCAATTGGAGCTGGATAAAAATACTGTACTGTTTTTTTCTTTGTTCAATCTCAATAAAAAGATTGAACGGAAAAGTGGTCTTCCGGATCCAAACAGGAAAAGATAGCAGATTTCTCAAAGCAATCAGTTTGTGTTTAAGTAAGGAGAGTAGAGGGGAAACACTTTAAGGAGATAAAAATCTAAAACAGATTTAGTAATGACCATACCAAGGTATTTAATCTTCATAACCTACTAAAGAGTCTATAGAGGGGTTTCTTGGAGGAGTGGCAGTATTTTAGATTTGTTCCAGTTAACATGCAAACTCAAAAAGTAGTAAGATTATTTAACCACTTCCCGTCCGGCATGTACATAAACGGCAGGACTGGAGCAGTGCAGGAGCGGGTTGCCATTTATAAACGTCCTCCTGGCTTCCCTGCTTGTTCGTGCTCCCTGGGAGCGAGCGACACCGCGATCCAGTGCCCACTGTGTCCTCCAGACACAACAGAACACCGATCATTGTATGGGACTTCTGTGTGAGATCCCAATCATGCGATCACTGATTGGCCAATCAGTGATCACCTGAATAGTAGTAAGCAAGATGTCACTTCTGACATCATTGCTTACTACTAGTGAAATCTGTGAATGATCACAGAGATCACATGGTAGAAGACTATTCACAACAGCCTTGTACCATGTGGCAAGCTGTGACCAATCACAGCCCACACAGTATTTCTCAATGGCTACAAGAATGCAGCCAGAGAGAAGGAGTAATGATTGCTTTTACAGCCTTTATGGGTGTAAAAGCAATCCGTGTAAAAAAAAAAAAAAAAATCTTCATCAACCCCCACAAGTAGTACGGTGACACTGTACTGCTAGGGTGACAGTATGTTAAAAAAAAAACATAAATAATAATATAAAAAATAAAATAAAAATGAAAAAACATTTTTGAAAAATTATAATTTTTGGTTATAAACTTATTTGGATTATTTTTCTTTTTTACGAAAAAGATAACTGAATACATTTTGGCCAAGATTTATGAAGAAAGATTATTTGAAAATTTTTATAAGAAAAAACAATTTTTTTTTAATTTTTGGACTTTTTTGATTTATATAGCAAAAAAATTAAATTCCCAGTGGTGAATAAATACCACCAAATAAAGTTTTATCTGGGTACAGTGTTGCATGACCACACAATTGCAATTCAAAGTGTGATAGCGCTGAAAGCTGAAAATTGACCTGGACAGCAAGGAGGTGAACGTGTCCGGACTTGAAGTGGTTAAAATATCTATGGCTTCTGATAAAGAAGATTCAGAGTTATCAAGCCAAAATACCAGCTCATCCACGCATAATGCTGTTTATTTCCTCCAGGCTGCCTACTTTTATACCTTTGACTAATGGGGACATACACAATGCAAAAGCTATGGCTCCATCATAAGAGCAAACAACCCAGGGGTGTCCTGCTAGGTGCCCCTGAACACCGGCAAAAGTTGGGAGAGTGCCCACCAGTTTTCATGGCCACTACCTGGTGATCATATAAGATATTATTATTTTAGAAATAAACGGTCCAACGCCCATCTTTAACAAAAGTGTACGCATATAAGTCTGATCTGCCAAGTCAAAGGTCTGAGATTGATATCAATGTGGCACAAAATCCCTTTGGGTCTGAGGAGATCAGTAAATGAAGTACATCAGTAAGCCCAGTATTTAACATTTTTGTAAGATTTTTTTAGTTATGTTCTATTTTGAAATGACATCTAATATCTTCAATTTCCTTATAAGACCTCCTAGCAGATGACAATGTTGTCTCTTTACATCTGTGTTTGACTTTCACAAAATGAATAGTAAAACAAACATAATGAGCCACAAAAATGGTCGTTCAATGACACCAAATGTGGAATTTTCTTACTTACTCTTACAATAATTCTCAATGTGTTTCATCATTTTGTTTATTGCAGGAACCCGGCACATTCCAAACTTGTAGTCTACATCCAGCCGGAACTTGGTGGTCTTCTACCACGATCTGTGGTGGAGTCGGCATTACCCAGCAACGTTATCAACCTCATCACCGGCGCTCGGGAAGGAATTAAAAAAATTTTTCCAAGACGGAAACTGAATTATCTATAAAATGTAATGATGGCTCACTGCAAGTGAAGATGTGTTAATGAATTATAGGCTACCAGAAAGACAACCGAAAATTATAATTGAACTTTACACTATGCTAAGGTGGTTGGGCCAACAGAAAATTGTATCTAGACATATTACATGTTTGATAGAATTCTCATGTACCACCAAATTACCAAATCACCCACTGAGTAGGACAGCCCACCAAACACAATATTGTAGCACTAGATTTCCAGGCTAAACGTAAGTAGTATTAAAAATGCTCCCTCCCCTCTCCCAGGGCGACTGTTAGAAATCATTGGGCCTACCTGACTGTGGCCCCCAACCCCCCCCCCCCCAAATCATTATTAGCAAGCACAAACTCAACATAACTTACACACAATACCTGCTAAATCTAAAGGATAAAACTGTATTGAGTGGTCTTTACAGTGTGAATCAGCATTTTTTTTTCAGTGTGGCTGGAGCTGTGTGTAGGCAGCCTATGTTACGCTATGGGGACGCAGCAGTTGTATGAACACAGCCGCAGGTCCTAATTTGACAGCGGGTGTGGGTGTAGGCAGGGGCGGACTGACCATTCGAGCACTAGGACACTGCCCGGGGGTCAGTAGTACCTTGCCCCTGGTACCTTTTTTATAGGCTTTTTTGAGTGTGGGCAAGGACACAGGGGCCCCATGATCCCCTATTGCCCGGGTGCCCCATGAGTTGTCAGTCCGCCCCTGGGTGTAGGTCTACAGCTCTGAACACAGACAGTGTGCATTTGAGGTAAACTCATCCGCACCTTCACACCTGACAAAAAAGACCTGTGGCTGTGTTCATACAGATGCTGCCTCCCCATAGAGTAACAGGCTGCTCCAGGCACACAAACAAACTTGTTCACACTGTATGGGCCAGACATCCTCTGTGAAGGAGCCCTAAAGTGGTTGAAATGCCTACACATTTGTTACCTTAATGCATTCCCTGCATTAATGTAAAAAAATGTTCCAGTAGCAGTTTTGCCCCTCAACCTCCCCTATACTTACCTGAGTCCTCACTCGATCCAGCGCTGTGCCCCTCTGTAGCGGCGCTCTCCTCTCTCATGCTAAGCCATTGACTCCTGCTGCTGTCAATCAAACCCTGTGAGCTGAGAGTGGGTACGGGGTTTGGGATAAAGCCAACATATCAAGCAGCTTGCTATGGGGGCACTTTGAGTGGAGGAGGAGCCTAGAACGCCAATATGGGACCCCAGAAGAGGAGATTTTGGGTTGCTCTGTGCTGTCCATTGCACAGAGCAGGTAAGTATAACATGTTTGTTATCTTTAACAAAAAAAACAAATACGCCTTTACAATGTGTTTTTTTTACTTTTATTATTTTTTTTGCAATTGTAATTATTTTTTACAGTTTTTTTTTAACAGCCCTGGAGGCTTTGGAAAAATAACAGGGGTCGTCCCACTTTTGAGGCAGAGAAAGTGATTGAGGACTATGATCTAGCCTCAGCTGATCAGAATGACTGAACAGGAAGAGCTATGTACATAGTTTCCTGTTCATTCATGAACTGAAGCATAGCAAACACAGTTTACAATGCTTCAGTTATGAATGAACATAGTGCATGATCAGTACCAATCATTCACCTTGTTCATTCAGAAAAGGAAAGGGGCCAGTGATATATTTACAGTATCTGTCCCATCCCACTCTCCATCCTGAAATGATCCCCTGTGCCCCACAGCAGTTGGCAGGAGAAAAAAGGAGGGGGAGTGGAACCCGGGCAACAGAATGAATGAGATTCTGTACAGGAAGGGATGACTGGTGAGGTGAGGGATGCATTTAATAGAACCAATCCCCTATAGCCCCTCCCTACAGAAGCTGAAATCAAGGGGGAGGAGAAGCCAGCTGTCAGATGCTGCAGAGGTGGTAAGTACAGGGGATTGGTTCCAGTAAATGCACTCCCCTCCCACTCCAGTATCCCCTTCCTTCGCTTGCCCTTCTCCTAACACCTATGCTAACTAACCTGTTATGAAAGATATACTGTATATACTTACCTATTTCAGCCTCTTGTCTGGTTCCCATGATCTCTCCTGTGTCAGCCAGTGGTGGCTGCATGGGAGAAGAGAGAGCACTGAACAAACAGCTGGTAATGCCTGGGAGTGGTGATGTCACCTATAGGCTCCTCTGGCCTATCCATTGTGCTCTCTCCTCTCCCCTGCAGCTGCCAATTACTGACACAGGGGTGACAGATGACGTGGCCAGACTGGCGTGGGCTGAAAATAGGTATTAGGAGGGGGTAGGGAGCATTTTTACGACTAGTTAGGTTTAGCCTGGAATTCTACTTTAAAGCTAAACACCAGGTAGATATAAAGGCACACATTATGCAGCTCTTCATTAAATGATATCTCATTAAATGTATTATTTTAAGTGTAAGGGTACCTGAATCTGAGCAAGCTTCAACTTCTTGTCCCTGCACCACAGAACGTAAGCAGGAGGAGGGAAAAGCAGCACAAGGAGCCAGTCAGTTGTGTCAAAGTGCAAGGAGCATGCCAACACAAGGAGAGAGCAGAGAGATGAGCTCATCCATGCGCTGCTTCTCCTTTCACTGTTCAGTCACAGTCTGGGTGTGGAAAGGAGACCTGTAAGTGAATCTGCAGCAAAGATCAGGTCCCCTCCCCCAACAGACAGAATTGTGCTGTGTGGCAGAGCTGTGTATATCTTGGGACTGCATGGCCAGCAATACAAATTCTTTGGCTGGCATAGCAGCTCCCACATACTGTATGCATTTCATTGGTGTTTTTAGCTGTTTGCCTAAAGTTGCAATCCTTGAGCACATGCTAGAACACTGGGATGTCATACCGATCCTCTGGTTTTAACTTTTTGTCACAAAAGTCAGCCAGGCAACTAGCATTTTCAAAAAGGCCATTAGTGGTAATAAAAATACTTCCCTCGTGACAGGTTTCCCTTAAAGCTGAACTCCTGGAAAAAGTAAAAGTTCTTTTAACTGCTCGTTTAGGGTCTAGGGAACCGGGTAAACCAGTTTCACTTACTTGATCTTCTGCTCTGGCTTGCACCTGCAAGCTGCAGGACCGGTCTCTGCAGGCTCTTCTTCCTTTGCACTCCAGCAGTCAGATACCTGTGACGCCATCAAGACATAGCAGGGTCCATAGCCCTGCACTGGGTGTGAGGAAGCCAAGGCACAGTCCAATGTTGAAGTGTAGGCGAGTGTTGTTTGCTGGGGGAGTGGAGGATCAGGTAAGTGAAAGTGCTTTTACCATGCGCTCGTTAGAAATGAATAGTTTACCCTTGTAGTGTGGGTGCAGCACCACTAAAAAGCTGGACTTTTACATTTTCTGAAGTTGGGTCATTGGGCTTTAAGGAAACCCAGATGGATCAGGCTGAATTAGGTGATGATTATGTCTACGGCCATCTCCTGCCACCACCAATCACATCTCAGGGGAAGTAGCATCAGCCATCTTGGAAAATAGGAAATAAGTTAGCAGTGGGGGTGGGGGTAGGATCACTCGGCATGCTTCCCCACCCTCCTCCACAGACATAAACATGAGCACTTGGGTGATCCAACCAGGTCCCGGACAAGGGGGTGGGCAGGAAGGGCAGCTGCCCCAGGCACAGCGAAACCCAGATCTTCAAATATCGTTTTGGATGGACCACCCCTTTAAACAACCCCAGTAAAACCTCAGATTCTGGAAACAAACATATTTGCTGCTTTATGTCTGTTTTTATTGCATTATTTGGCACAAATAAATATTAAAGTGGACCTTTCAGGAACGTTACAAGTCTTTGTGAATACATTTCTCACATGTCACAGTATAAAGCAACGGTATCATTTTTCATAAATCTCTCTAACTTTTCTCATTAAAATTGAGTCCTTGTACTTTGTCTAGGCTGATATGATGTAAAAAATGATCAGCACAGGGTGTCAAATATGCTAGGTTTGTCTTTTTTTTCTCAACCACTTCCAGTCCGGACACTTTTACCCCCTTCCTGACCAGGGCAATTTTCAGCTTTCAGCGTTATTACACTTTGAATGACAATTGCGCGGTCATGCAACACTGTACCCAAATAGATTTTTTACCATTTTTTTGAGACAGATAAAGCTTTTTTTGGTGGTATTTATTCACCGCTGGGATTTTTTTTTTTTTTTGCTATGTAAATGAAAAAGTCCAAACATTTTTAAAAAAATTTTGCAAATATAAATAATATTTCATCATAAATCTTTGCCAAAAACTTATTCTGTTATCTTTTTAGTAAAAAAAAAAATCCAAATTAGTTTATAATCAAAAATGATAATTTTTAAACATTTTTTTTACATTTTTATATTATTTTTTCTTTTTCTTTTTTTTTTTACATACTGTCACCCTAGCAATACAGTGTCACCATAGTGACACTGTACTACTTGTGGGGGGTGGAATGATGATGAAGATTTTTTTTTTTTTTTTTTTACACTGATTGCTTTTATACCCATATAGGATGTAAAAGCAATCATTTCTCTTTCTCTTTGTCTGCATTCTTGCAGTCATTGAGAAGTACTAAGTGAGCTGTGATTGGTCACAGCTTGTCACATGGTACAAGGCTGTTGTGAATAGCCTTGTACCATGTGATCTCTGTGATTATTCACAGATTTCACACGTAGTAAGGAATGATGTCACAAGTGACATCTTGCTTACTACTTTGCATGTGATCACTGATTGGCCAATCAGTGATCACATGATCGGGACCTCCTACAGAGGTCCCGTCTGACGATTGGTGTTTCACTGTGTCCGGAGGACACAGCGGGCACGGATCGTGGTGCTGCGCACTCCCAGGGAGCGTGCACAAGCAGGGTGTGGGGAGGCCGTTTATAAACGGCCACCCGACCCTGCAGTGCCACCGTCCAGTCGTTTATATGCAGCGGCCGGTCGGGTCGGGAAGTGGTTAAACATTCCACAAATTATTGATCACACTAAGGTACCTATAATTATATTTAGCAGGGTTTCCATACTTAAATTTAAAGAGTAACAGAGAAGGATCTGGGGGTTCT